ATTCTCACAATTTTACTTAAAAATAAACACAGCAAATACATTGGCAAAGTCAATGGATACAGTGTATTAATACACAGTACACTGAAAAACATTTTAGTAGCCTAAGGGAAACCAGCAAATGCTGTGAAAAAATATTCAAAACACAGAATTTACAGGTCCACACACCTCAACAGCAATAGCTTCATGAATACAGCCTGAAAAGACATCATTCACTCGCCACTGAAAGAAGATTTCAGCCTTGACTTTTAATAAATATAAACTCCCAAACAAGACAAACATCATGACAAGAAGTAAAAGAAAAAAATACCACTCCACACAATAAATCCATGTTTATAGTGTAAGCACTTGTGGGAATAAATTCTCCCTTCCCCCTCTTCCTCCTCTTAAAGGGAAGGGGGGAAAAAAAAACCCACCACCAAAACCCATACTAGCTTTTACGCTAGAGTAACTAGAGTTATTAGTTTTCCCAGGCTTTTCAACAGCATAATGAAGGGATGCGCATTTCTGCGGTTCTAACATTTGCGTGTCTAATACAAAGTAACCCAGCAAAAGCCAAGACATTAAATTCTGTGTATGGCATTTAGTTTCACGACACATTTTCTTGTACTGTACCTTCAAAAGTTTCCTGCTAGCTAGCAGAAACACAAGTAACTAACTGTTCATAAGATTACACTACGCTTACAGCTTTGTTGCTGTTTGAAATGTATTTTATTTTCTTTATAAAATAATGGGTAATCTTTAAAATTGATTTTAGATAGTTTGAGGCATTACACCAGAGAAGTAATGAGCGCTAATGTCAATGATATTGGACACAAATTCATTTTAGCTTTATTTCATGTCCAGTACAATTCTACTAAGCCTTGAACTGCTGAAGCACTGTTATTAACTTGCCAGTAACCCAACACATGGAACGGCAAACAAAAGTGATAAGAGTACAGGCTGATCAGGACCTCAAGGCTACTGTCCTTTTTCTGCAGCTATAATTCAATTTCCAATTTTACTTTACATTGGACTCATTATTTCACAGTAATTTTCTTTTCTGCTTAATAGTGCCATCTGGAGGTGAAATGAATGAAGAGAAACCAAGGAGAAGAGAGAGAAAGAAGTTCATTAAGTTAATCGCGTATGTACATCCATAAGGGGAAAAACCCAAACACAAAGCATTTTACAAACCTTTTAAAGCGATCTTGAAAGCAAAGATATGAACACCTTTCCACCCAGTCATGCCCTTGAAACATCTCTTCTTCCTTTTAATTAAAGACAACTTTTGCCTTCCCCCCCCCCCCATCTGAACCAACAGGTCAGATTGCTTGAAGGATGCAATTAAAAAGCAATCAAAGTGAAAAATAAATTTAAGCTATCCATAAGCCTTATGTTTCGCTGTTCAGAAAACTCCTGTTTCAAGGAAATAGCCATATATCTATGATTTGTCACCAGATGTTACTAATATAGTAGTTGCCCTCAAGGGCCTTCACTGTTCTAGGGATTCATTGTGTGAGGTGTTGTTCATCTAGAAAATAATAGTTTTGGCTCCAAGGACCTTAAAATGAAAATTACAAAACACAACATACAAATGAAAAAAGGTAGGAGGGAAAATGGTATGTGATATTAATAATCCGATGTCTTAGCACAGGCTAGCCGCATGTGCAGTGTGAATTCAACCAGTAGCATTCACAATGTTTCACAAACAGTTTTATTACAGCAAGTGTCAATACAAGGCTGCAGTTACAGTGATGTAGATCAGTTCTCACTGCAACTGTGCTAATGTAAGAGTCATGGCTCACAGTGCTAATTCCTGTAAACTGACTGGACATATTTAAGAAAACAACAGACTTTCTATGCATGCCCAGAATAAGAGTGAAAGGCTAAATCCTGCAAGTCTTTATCACATCAGTAGTCATTACTTGTCAGAGATCTCACTCCTCTCAGCCAGATTGCTCACGTGCATAATGACTCCTTATGTGATTAGGGGGCTGCAGGATAAGGCTCTACATTTGAATTAGAGATAATAAAATCATTTTTTATTCGTGGCCATGTGAATCTTTGTTTGTAAGCTTTCAGTAAATGCTCATGATCTCTAGACCTTTAAAGAAAGAGGGCAGAAAACATCAGTTGACATCCAAAAGAAATAATGTCATTTTTGAGGAAATGCTGAATACTACTTGGAGAGTATTTCTCCTTCCCCATGTAACAGCAAGAGCACTTACAAAAGACAAAACATGTGTTTTGTCTTATTTGGACAAGGTCCAAAATCTGGTTTTCTTCAACATGATTTTATTAGGTATATTATACACTGTTCTGCTGGAGGAGAGCAACATATGGCTGAACAGTACAACTTAATCCTAACTAAAGATTTCCTGTATCTACTGTAACCTAATACAATGACAGATGCACACTTGTATGTGTGTGGAAGGTTAACACTCCGATTTTGTTTTCAACAAATTTACTCTGCCCATTTACATCATATCATGAGAGAAAAAAAATAAAGCTTGAGACAACAGATCACAGCCTGTACTGTGGTGCCCTCTATTGAACATCCGCTCAGCCTCTCGCAGCAAACAGGGACTTAACACAAGCCCACAGTAAACAAAGCTCCATTTCCTCCTTTTAAAAAGCCTACTGTGTTTCCTCATCCTTTTTTTTTTTTTAAACAGAGGAAATGTTACTGATAGCAAGCAACTGTTAAGCAACTGTTTAGAATCTGATAATGAATACATTTTATAAAAGAATTAGTAACTAAACCGCCTGTTAAGTATTAACATGCCTGCTAAAAGTACTAGGCACTTCAGCGGAACTTACCAGATCTGAAATATTTTCAGCATTTTACCCAGAAGAGCTCTAGTGGAAAGAGGGAGCCACATGTCACTGAGGAAATCCCACCCGGCCTATGGCCGCCATTGCCTTTGTCTATTCTGTGCTGCTGAAGGCACCCCAGCAGCCCCCGCAAGCAGCCACTCTCCCACTTCTCCCATTCCTGTGGGAGAACAATGTATTTCCAGGGGAACTCTCTAACCCTACCCCAGTTTGTGCTCATGGGATTGTAATTTGGAAGGTAAGCAAGCCTGAGAAGGAAGGCAAAAACAAAGTTACATTTAAAGAACAGTTCTGCCTTAGGCAGTGGGGCTGATCAACTAGAATTTTGAATGGCCTGTTTGCACGAGCACCGAGGGACACAAAGCACTACAGCCAGAGCAGGACGACTGTGCAAGTACTTTGTTCTCTGTGAATTTTAGCAGTACATTTTTCCAAGCTCCTACTATCTCCTCCACCACATCATAAACTGCAATGTAATTGCCCCAGATCTTGCCCCACCACTTGTTAGAATCCAACTGTATTCAATGAAAGCAAAATATCAGCAACAGGAGTGAATACAACTAGCATTTAAATCAGTTTTGTTAATTAGTGTTCTAATAAGCAAACATGAATGATCCTATAAAAAGGTAGTCTAAATCCCATAGTTATGTCTGTGCAGGAATAAGAGCCTCTGCTTTCACCCTTTTTAAAACTTAATATTAAAAGTTCATGTTTTGATTTTGACCTTCAGTTTAAGAATAAGCTTTTCCTGTGAATTTAAATACATCTTCAAAAGTATCAGGATACTTACCACGAAAACTGCATCATTTTCCTTATTCTGACAAAGTAATTCATAATTGAAAATGGGCTAGCTGACTTCCGTTAATGCAAATGGGCTTTTGAAATATTAAATTATGCCCAGACAAGAAGCGAGCTTTACAGCTCTTCATCATTCAGAGTGATAATAACCTATAAGACAAGCGGGTCTTAACCTGCATTTGTATGCTAAAGACAAACAGAATGGAAAACCCATTTCCAGATTCCAACAAACTCTGATGCTTTGCTTTAGGTTCCTGCTATGGACCTAATTCTCACCCTACCATGTTCCGCCTAAAGAGGCTGCACAGAGGCCTTACCCCATGCTAATTCTGGAGCGATATATGAAGGAGGACAAGAGAACTCTACGGCTATCCACACAGAGGTGATATGGAGGTGCTCTCAAGGTCAGCGACAAGAACTGGATACCTAGCCTCCAGCAGCTCAGTCCTTACTCCTCTGTCTTGTGGCTGCTGTCCCAGGAGAGGCTACAGTAACCTTCCTGCACAGAGCAATGGATGCAGGGCAGAAAGAGAAATTAGGTTAAAGACCTACATTTCATTTTCATATATGGTTTAGGTCTTGACAATCTCACGAGGCACTGAAAGCAGAAAGGAGCATAGGTTCCTTTATCACCTGTAAGCATCTGAAAAATCTTACCTGTGACCCTCCCCTTGACAGGTATATATAGGTTCAAATCCCATTTCTTCTTGCCATCATAAAGGAACACCAGCAGGGACTATGGACCTCTTTGAGATAAGCACTGTTATTGCTGGGCTAATGGAGCACTCAGTTTTGTAGTGCTGGGCTAGAATACTCCATGCAACTACTTTCTGATTCCTTTCTCACTCCCTTTCTAGTATACCAGGGAGGTCCTGCTTCCCCTAGCACTGCCACACTAGAGAACCTCTAGCATTCAGACCCAGTAGTTTAGTAATGTCAAGTCTATGAAACATAAGGCAGGAGAATTGAAATGGTCTCACATTAACTGCTCCTCAGCTATATCTGCTGGAGCATGTGCAAATTCAGCACTGCTCACACGCTGGAGTTACAGAAAGACACTTCACTTGTCAATGAGTCACACAAATGCAATCTCAGTGAAAGAAATCATAACCGTTGGTTCAGATTTAAAAACCAAAAGGGGAGGGGGGGGACTGACATCATGGCAGCTTAGTTCAGCCAATAAAAAGATCCCTTCTATAAATAGCAGCACATCTGACACGCCAGCCAGCAGAGGGCAATGGTACAGCACATAATCGCCAAGCCAATTCATCAGAGCACAACTATATCTCTGAAAATTCCTTCCAACTATTCCCCAGGGCTGAGAGAAGGCTGCCACCTTTCTAAACAGCTTCTAAGTTTAAACATTTAAATTAATGATTTACAAAAGAGATGCCTCTTCCTCTGCTCCTGTATGAACAGCAGCAGGGTAAAATGCTCAACATGCTGTCATTTTCTCCTGCCAGTACCCATTTAAATTACATGCATCCACAAAATTGGAGAGTGAAGATCCATTTTAAGAGAATATGTCACTGTGTTTTGCCTTTTGAGGCACAAATAGTGGTTGTAAATATTTTTGATCTTGAAATATTATATACCGTTACCAGATTGGTCTCTACCATTTTCAAAATCACTCTCATTTTAAAATGCACTACTCCATGTGACAGCACAGCTGAGCAAGAGTTGCTCAGACACAGGGATCTGAACTACCACACTCTTTGGCTGATCATTAATATTATCACCTCTAGAAACATAGTCACTCTCTCCCATGAGGTAAAGGAAAAACTCTTCTGCTTTCCTTTTTCTGTCTCCCATGTCCTCAGACAGTATTCCCTGACTATATTTCGACCCACAGATCCTAAGTATAAGTGTACATAGAAATATTGTTCCCGAAACTCCTGCAATGGTTAACTCTGCCTGTCTTCAGTTGTTAAGCCTACTGCTAACAAATATATCCCCAGGACCAATTCTTTCTTGTCTGTTAGGGAAGCCTATAATTATAACATATTGACTAGAAAAATAGTTCGTCTAGTATTCCTCTGCCCACTCACCATGAAGCTTAAAGCCTACGTAAATGATTTGCTTTTTTTTTTTTTTCCTTTGTCTGTGCATCTCTGATTCATGACAGTGTCGATACTGAAAGAAGATGAGTGTCTTTACTCTCAGTGTCTTACCATGCCCTTAACCCAAACAGGGCCTAAAGAAGCTTTCAAATTTCCTTATACGTAGTTCCTACCACAGCAACTGTGAACAGAGCTGCACTCATAGCAGCAGTTGCAGGTTAAGAAAATGGCAGAGAAAGCACAAAATCACACCAACAAGTTCTCTACCACTGCAGACAGTAAAATGGTTACAGCAGTGTGACTAGATGATGCAATACTAAAACTAATACAGTACTCTCTTGTAACTCAGGTCAGTCTAGCTAAGATTTCACTGTTCTTTTATTACAGTTTACACTAACGCTTTACATAACAGCATAGGGGAAAAATTTTATACAAGTTGCAGCTGTAGTAAAAGTGATCACAGCTGCTAGAGCTTGTTTATGTTAGTGGGTATGGTAAACAGAGTAACTGGCATCATAGGAAATATTTGTGTCAGGAGATCTCCCTGCAGAATTTTCCCAAGCTCCCAATGATTTAGCCTACAGAGTTTATTAGAGACCTGGACACTGAATTTCCATTACTACAAAGAAGAAGAGAAGTCTCATTTATTTGTGGAAGCGTAATTTTGAAAGCTGTAAGTAGACATCACCATGAAAGAACTTTCATCCTCAATACAAGCATAAAGTAATGTAAAACCAGAACTATTCTTTTTAATCAATGCAACGACATGCAATGGAAAAGCTGAAGTTTCCTTACACCAGTGAAGCTGAAGTCACAAATATGAAATATGACTTAGTGCAAATAAGACAAAAAATAAAACCAAACGTGTAACATGTGAGGATGACCACAAGATGGCTCTCTCATGCCAGGGATGAGCCATGTTAAACTAGAAAATTTAAGACAGTATAAAAATGCCAGCATCTCAAGATAAGGGGTACTTACTTTTCGAGGAATTCTTGAAGACCCTGCCGACGATGGTCCACGTGATGAGGATTGTTCACATTAAAAAAGGGAGTTTTAGATGGCAGTTCCGGTAACTGTCTTTATAAACAAACAAGCAAATACACAGTTAAAACCAAACCTGAAACAACGGAGAAAAATATCATAAGCTAAAGCCAACCTCAAGCATTTGGGATTCACAAGTCATGTTCCAAAAGCTAATGAAATCAAATTTGAGAGAACGAGTTTGAGCAACTGGTGTGCTTCTGACACACCTTGAAGGAAAAAAACAAACACAGAATTTTCTGGTCCAGCTGTTAAGCCTGCATGCATGTCTATGTCTCTTCTGTGGTCCTTATGACTGTAGAACCTAAGTACATCCTAAAATTATATCTGCACTGTTGTTACTGGCCCACTGGAGCAGAACAGCCTCTGCTCAATACAGCCTAATAATTTATCTTGGCCAGACTGCTATTGCTGCTACCTGTATCCAATAAAAGGAAATACAGATCAAGTATATCACAGGTTATTAGAATGGGGGGTCACTAAACGAGGGCTATGAGTATCAACTACATCCTTCTGGGTTTAGACCAAGTAAAGCACGAGGAAATGTTTTGTACAGAGTAAAATTGTACCAGTAGAAAATGCAGAACATTTTCCAGCTCCGATTTCTATAATTCTAAGAGTAAGAAGAAACAACCTTCTCTCCCACTATGTGTTATTTACAGATTATTAAAAACAGATATTTAGCGGAATAAATTAAACTTAAAAGTTGCTCACATTAGCACAGCATTGCTCTGAAGCTTCTGCCGGAGCCAAACAAATTCTCGAAAGCGTCGCCTAACGCAGGATGTTTTCCTTGTAAAGCACATACTGTTTGTCTGTTGGGAAATAAAAAAACATTAAACTAAAGTGCAAGCATTATATCAAAAAAACCTAAGATGCCAATTCCCGAGACACCAACAGAAAGCTTGACATGGATGAGTTTAGCTGGAGGACTGTGCTTTCTCTCAGACAAAACTGGCATCAGTTTCTACTGGTCCTCAGGGAATTTTTTTCTTTTTCTTTTCTTTTTCTTTTTTTTTTTTTTTTAAAGAAAAGGTCAGGATAAAGTTTCAGTAACTGGGGAAAAAAGTCTCGGAAAAAAAAGCTGCAGCAGAAAACACCAATCTTTGCGGGGGAGGTGGGGAGAGGATCACATTTAACTATTCTAGTTATAATTGTCCAAACGCTTTACTCTACAGAGTTCTTCAGGCTGCAGTCCTAGTTAAATCAAAGAAACTAATGTGAACGCTCCCTGCAACTAGCAGTATTTAGACATTTTCCCAAAGAATAGTGTTACTCCACAAAAAAATGCCAATTCATCAGAAGAGAAACAATTCATGTAAACTAAATGATTTTGCCAAATTTTCTAGTAGAGCATACATTTAAGTGAAACTCTGCCTACCAGCATTCATAGCTGTGACACAGACCCCCCACATGGATTGCACAGGGCCCAAAGGCACCAGCTTTCTGGAAGAGATTGGTATCTGGGCTGCCTCATAGCTTAAGAAACCAAACACTAAGAGCTGAGGCAGAAGAGGAATCCAGCTAGCCCAAGAACCTGGCAGACCCAAGATTTCGAATCTGCTTAGTACAGTCCAGTATGTACCTACAGACAAGGTCTCTGAAAGCCTTTGCAGATTCCTGGTAGGGAGCTGAGCTCATGCTTATCAGCTTCAGAGATGCCCAGAGATGTCCACTGCTGAATCATACCACAGTGTCTAAACGACATCACCCCATCTTGGCAGTTGCTGAGGAAACCAGCAATACGCTTCCATTTCAGAAGCACCAATGTCTATGAAAATGTAATCTAACCCCCCAAAATCTATAGAATTTCTATTACCAGAAGTCAAAAATATAATTGCTTTTGAAACAGTACTTAAACCACATTGCACAATGCAAGTTTCACAGCTCTGATTGCCCCATAGGACACAAGAACTTGTCAGCAAAGGCATTTAATAAGCAATCATTTGACTGTTTGCTCTCATTACGCTGAATACTTAACTCTCCCACACAGAAAGGAAATGCTTTCAGTCTTGTGCCAAACCCCAGTCACATCACTTGGTGCTCTCAAATTCTTCGCCTGATAGCTGATAAACTTCACAAAACTTCATTTACATAGCGTTTAAAATCCCTGGATCTAGATTTAGGAAATTAGGGTAATTCTTTCCATATATCATCCACCAAAGAAGAATAATCAACAGAACAAAACGAGGTATAGGACAGATTTAAGACACAAGAGAACCATAATTCTAAGTGCACTCTCATAAACATATGGTAGGCTACAATTATAAACACGAACGTACTTACTTGACATATCCAAATACCACTGAGCTGGCATAATATGAATGTCAAGGTACACTGAAAACACATTACAGAAACCAAATAACTTGGCAAATATAAGAACTGGAGAGAGTTTAAGGTACAAATTACCAGACTCATACTTGAAAAGAAAGTTGTTTTCACATGAATACCTGAACGTGAAACTTCAGGTATAATTGCAAGATCACTAACTTTCCAATCTGTTGCGCTGATTTTCTAGCTGATAATTAAAACTAAGAGCAATTTCTGTTGCAAGCCAATGTGCTCTGGAACACTCATGTGAACCCAAGTATCAGGTTCTAGACCCAGCTGTGCCACAGACTTACTGCATGGCTTTTGGCCAAGCTATGTTACCTGTTCCACTGCATCTCCATCTTCACAAGGGGAGTAATATCCCCCTGCCTTCCAGAAGTGTTGTAAAGAAATTTCTTTAATACTTGAAGTGAGCCCGGGCTTGGATAGAAACAGGAATAAGAATACAAAGAATCTGTACTGATATTTTTATACTTACATGAATGAATATCTCATAGTCTATGTATGAATGCCAAAAGTCTTCTTTCTGTGTCCTAGGGTCTCGCACCAAGACAGTTACAAATTCCTGCAAGCGCATAATAAATCAAGCGATTAATTTCAGAAGACAAAGGGAGCCTGAAAGATTCTTTTGATTATTCTGCTGCTCCACAAACTACTGTGCTCAGATTAAAAGCTGAACTGCTGTTTTATTGAGTGTTGCAATCCTATAAAAGGAGAAGCAAAAAGCAATGAATCATCTGTGCTACACCACATGTCCAGGAAATTCCTTGCCAAACTGCTGGCTTGAAAAGGGACTATTTCAGATTAAATATCGTGAATTATCATACATGCTTCATTCATGGGAGATCTGGTGATTTCAATCACTACAAATTAAGTATCCAACATAAAAAAATCACAGGTCTAAGACAGAACTAAGCAGGTATTTTAGGCTTTTCCCAACCTGGTGTTCAACATTCACAAGGAACGTGTTACAACACTGTTCCATGTACCTGCCCAATGCTTAGAGTTTCTTCTGTCACTTTATTTTTTTTTTTTTTTTTAAAAGATCAAACATTTATACCCACTGATATCAGGGATCTGAGATAAGTCTCAGTACCTCCATGAGGGGATGAAGAATTGTCTGTTTTCTATAAACAAAATTACTCGCCCCAGCCCACTAGAATATGTACCACTATTAGTTGCCCCAGGCACTGATTTGATGCAGGGATTCATGGTCTCAAGCCTAGTGTCCCTGATGCTCTGTGGAAGGAGGTGAATACTGCTCTTCTGCTGTGCCGCATATGCTTCCTGATATACCACAAACTTAAGTCACTAAGTACAGCCAAGGACAGTAGCACCAGGACACTTCCATCCCAATCTACCCATCAACCTGCATGAAAAGGGAATACGGCAGCACTGCAGAGCATACTTAGCCCTGTTTCCTGGGGACAATGATATAGAGCATGTGCCTTCAAAGTTGACATACCTAGTCTATTTCCTTATAATTCCTACATTTATATAATAACTTAGAGGGATCCCGAAGGAACCTTCAGGCATTAATGTAATGTAACTAGGTGTTACATAATAATTGGATGAAGCTGAAGATTACATGCTTCTGGGTATCCTCAGCTAATAACCACATGAAATTTTGTATCACATTAAGAAAACCAACATGGTAAATCCATATTTCCATATTAACATGGAAAAGGTTCTTTAAAAGATAAAGATTGAAAGCATGCCTAACTACCAGCTCTTACCAGAAGAAAAAAAATAGCCTGTCCAACCTCAGTTGCTTAGGTAAACAATTACCCCAAAGAACTAAACCAACCACCTAAACAACTTAAATCATTTTAAGCTGTAGATACATTTTTCCTGAGAGGAAGGCACTGCACCAGACCTCCAAATATAGGGATCAAAGGTGGTAGGACAGAGAAAATCTTTGGTAAGTAGGATGCTTTTTTAGTAGTTCTCTGTTCATAAATAAAGGAGTCTTAAACTAGAAAGTTCTCAAAACGTGTCTCTCCATCCCCAAACCACAGATGTCAGAAAGGAAACCTTTATTCTTCAGCTAAGTTGCTTCCACCCTCCCCCCAACCATGTGTACTTCAGTGTACCGGCAGCAAACTAACAGACAAACAGGAGATAAATGACATCCTTGACAGGAAAAAGATCTATTTTGCCTGAACAATCGTTTGTACCCTATATGTGACAGGGAGGCATTTGTGGCCTTGATTAAATCATTTATCATACCAGAGCAGCTGATTTCCTGGTGATACTGTTTCAGCAATGGAGAACCTCTGGCCTCTGAAACAGCACACTGTTTCATCTCATTTAGTACGGCTTCTAGTTACATGTTTTTTTCTGCATTATTACTGGATAACACCTTGGTGTGTGTCAGTGAGCACCTTGCCAAAGAAAGCCCATTTGAAAGGTTCTTTCCATCTCTCCTGCTGCTTTCCTCACCAAAGAACACCGCAGGTCTGACTACCCTCTGCTTTATATCCTATGCAGCTTTTTAACCCAGTGCCAACAGGGCACAAGATGAACAAAGCAACAAAGTTGTAATAATTTCTACCAGCTGAGGGTCATACCTTTATTAGTAGAGAAACATCAGTGAGAGACATGAGAAAGTTATTCCCCTTCCTATGCAGATCAATCCAATGTGCCAAATAAAGGACAGAAAGCCATTTTTCAGTTCTGTTTTCTCCTCCTGGCTCGCTATTATAGCATATTTTCAGACGCACATCTTTTTATATCTATATTCTTATCTTCTCTTAAGCTTTAGTCTTCCCTCATTCAATCTTTCCCTTTGCTCCCAGCCTTCTATTTCCCTGCTTCTCACTCCTCCCCAAGGCTGCAAACACCTCTCCTAATCATTGTCTTCTCTTTTGTGAGGGGTAATTGTATCAGTCCTGCAAGCTGGAAAAAGAGCAATTATGCCAGAAAGTTTCAGATGCAACATTGCTCTCCTCTTCCATTCAAATACTACAGCCCAGAAGTCAAGACTGTAAACAACCTGCTTATAGCATTACTTTTGGTTCCTTTCCTGTCATCAATTGCCCTATCATCTTCCCATCATGCTTCCTTATGCCTAGGTTCCTCAAATTACTTTATTTCCAAGTGACCTTCTACCACCCTTCTCTTCATCACAATAGCCTTCTAAGTAAAATACTTCTTTAAAACTCTGTTATACCAAAATAGTATTGAAACTTCATGGCTGTTTAATTAGAAATTGAAAGTACAGATGGTTTTGTATGGAAATTGTGGTCCAGAATCATTTACAAGGTAATCCATAGCTAACACAGCATGTCCAACAGTAACTTTTTATCATAATATTTTGGTATAATAGAATTTGAGACGCCTTCAATACTTCAGACCTTTCAGACTCTACCTCTATGAGAGGTGAGACCTGTTACACACAGTATGGCAGTCAGGTATCTGGGGAGCATATCACAGACCCAAGAGTGAAAATATTCTATACCACAATGGAGTACCTTAGTAAACTGCAGCACTCAAATATAGTCACTATGAGCTCCAATTTGAAACACTGTCATTTCAGCAGAATGTTGGGAGTATTTTTTTTTTAGTTTACCAAAAGATACCAAGATTGAGGTAAGTATGAAGCAAGATAAATATTAAGCAATTACAAAACAAAACCAAAATGTACAGCCTTTCTCAAGATGTACTGTTACTTCCTCTATAAATATTTTGAATCCAGGAAGCATTAATTACAATTCCCTTTACAGTTTCTGCTACTCAGAAATAGGGCCATTACACGCAGACTATCCCTTCTTTTTTTGACCCGTAAACCTTCTCTGTCATACAAGACCAAATTGGGATATAACAATATAATACATACATCAGTATAACCACATTGATTCAATCAAAGCAGTACTATGTAGTGAAATAGGGCCATTACACGCAGACTATCCCTTCTTTTTTTGACCCGTAAACCTTCTCTGTCATACAAGACCAAATTGGGATATAACAATATAATACATACATCAGTATAACCACATTGATTCAATCAAAGCAGTACTATGTAGTGAAGATGCAGATACACTGCCATAAAAGGTGCTTATGTTACCCTGTCCCTATAAAACTAGGCTTGTGCAAGTCCAGTATTTGCACATAGGCTATGGCAGGACCCAAATAAATTTAGGTGGCAGAACATTCATTTGAGACATTGCTGTTGTATGCTTAGTCCATTCCGTGTTCATTGGTCACAGATTATAGCAGATCAAGCAGATTATAGCAGTCCCCTTCCTATGCAGATCAATCCAATGTGCCAAATAAAGGACAGAAAGCCATTTTTCAGTTCTGTTTTCTCCTCCTGGCTCGCTATTATAGCATATTTTCAGACGCACATCTTTTTATATCTATATTCTTATCTTCTCTTAAGCTTTAGTCTTCCCTCATTCAATCTTTCCCTTTGCTCCCAGCCTTCTATTTCCCTGCTTCTCACTCCTCCCCAAGGCTGCAAACACCTCTCCTAATCATTGTCTTCTCTTTTGTGAGGGGTAATTGTATCAGTCCTGCAAGCTGGAAAAAGAGCAATTATGCCAGAAAGTTTCAGATGCAACATTGCTCTCCTCTTCCATTCAAATACTACAGCCCAGAAGTCAAGACTGTAAACAACCTGCTTATAGCATTACTTTTGGTTCCTTTCCTGTCATCAATTGCCCTATCATCTTCCCATCATGCTTCCTTATGCCTAGGTTCCTCAAATTACTTTATTTCCAAGTGACCTTCTACCACCCTTCTCTTCATCACAATAGCCTTCTAAGTAAAATACTTCTTTAAAACTCTGTTATACCAAAATAGTATTGAAACTTCATGGCTGTTTAATTAGAAATTGAAAGTACAGATGGTTTTGTATGGAAATTGTGGTCCAGAATCATTTACAAGGTAATCCATAGCTAACACAGCATGTCCAACAGTAACTTTTTATCATAATATTTTGGTATAATAGAATTTGAGACGCCTTCAATACTTCAGACCTTTCAGACTCTACCTCTATGAGAGGTGAGACCTGTTACACACAGTATGGCAGTCAGGTATCTGGGGAGCATATCACAGACCCAAGAGTGAAAATATTCTATACCACAATGGAGTACCTTAGTAAACTGCAGCACTCAAATATAGTCACTATGAGCTCCAATTTGAAACACTGTCATTTCAGCAGAATGTTGGGAGTATTTTTTTTTTAGTTTACCAAAAGATACCAAGATTGAGGTAAGTATGAAGCAAGATAAATATTAAGCAATTACAAAACAAAACCAAAATGTACAGCCTTTCTCAAGATGTACTGTTACTTCCTCTATAAATATTTTGAATCCAGGAAGCATTAATTACAATTCCCTTTACAGTTTCTGCTACTCAGAAATAGGGCCATTACACGCAGACTATCCCTTCTTTTTTTGACCCGTAAGCCTTCTCTGTCATACAAGACCAAATTGGGATATAACAATATAATACATACATCAGTATAACCACATTGATTCAATCAAAGCAGTACTATGTAGTGAAGATGCAGATACACTGCCATAAAAGGTGCTTATGTTACCCTGTCCCTATAAAACTAGGCTTGTGCAAGTCCAGTATTTGCACATAGGCTATGGCAGGACCCAAATAAATTTAGGTGGCAGAACATTCATTTGAGACATTGCTGTTGTATGCTTAGTCCATTCCGTGTTCATTGGTCACAGATTATAGCAGATCAAGCAGATTATAGCAGTCTCAGGTAATAACTGCCTTTTGCCTCTGTATATATGCTTCCCTCCCTCCTACTTTTACTTGGGATACCAAGTATCTAAATCCAGGGTTCACCTGTGAGAGGTGAGGCTGCCCTCCTCTTCCCACAGATCACATGAAGACTAACTCCATTCTTTGTCACCAGACCACATTAGAGTCCAACTTTACAAGCCCCGAAGTAGAACTCTAAGAGAACAAAAGTCCCCAGGCTTCCTGTTGCCTAAAACCAAAGTTTCAGGGAAGTTTTACTTGTGAGAGGAAATCATTTTGTTGTGGTCTTTTTCCTTCCCTTCCCCCTAAGGGTTTTTTTTTTTTTTTTCCAGAATTGCAGATCTAGCCATTACGCCACATATTTACATACTTTCTTTTTTTAATTGTGGGCACAATAAATAGACATGCCTACTACACATTCAAGAAAAATATGTTTCCTGCAATGTCTAAGTGCAATGATTCTCTCAAAACCTGAACTTGCTGCTGACAGTACAAAATGTCCAAGTTTGGTAGTGGGAGTAAAGTATATAGATGCAAATTATATAGACATAACAAGAAAGTTACTGCAGAGAATACTTCTTCTCCCTAGAAGCTGTTAATTCACAAGCAAAACCCAAACTGCTATTACTATAGCTTTGACCTGGAATCCAGCAGTCACACTGGCCCAAATAGCCTCATAAGCAATTTCAAATCTGCCCCCAAATTGGAATTTAACAAGAAATCCTATTGATGATAACTGAGGAAAAACAGAAGGTCATTTCTCTCTCCTATATGAAACAGCTCTGCAGTTACTGCATGCACCAGTCAAGATAGCATGGGTAGCCCAAAACACAAGAAGTACTCATAATTATTTAATGAGCAGGAATAAGCTGAGCAGCTTCTCTAGCTAGCTGTGCCTTTTAATTCATGGCTAAAACAACTGTGATTTCTGTGCCAGTCACTTTAGGAATGGCATTTTGCTATCCTGCCCTTGAGAACAGGGCCATTCCAAGTAGTCTGGGTCACATAAAAATAAGAAAATGACCAATGTGGCCCTTACACCTGCTTTATACCTAAACTCCCACTGTTACAGGTCTGCTCAAAGAACATCACTGCTAACAACAGAGGAAAAGGGGCAGCACTAAGGTCACTGTAGATTCCAGCTCTCAGTGCCTGTATGTTCCCATCTGGATTTGCCCCAAAAGGAACAACACATCATAAAAGCAGCTAAAACATAAGATTTTTTTTTTCTTCCTCTGTTGCAGGTATCATTTCTTAACAATGCAATGGATTGCTTGGAGATAAGGACAAGCCAGAAGTTTTATTATACAGAATGACTACAAAAACTGTGTTTCTGAGAAGTTTATTTTTAACATTCTTCTACTAGGAAAATAAGAAATCTTACATGGAAACATATATTTTTAATATAGGAAAAATCTACCATGAGAAGGAGGGAAAAAAATATTCTTGCACTGGATGACTATTTGCTTCATCCATTCCAGCTGTGTTTTAATTCAAATCTCCATGGTCAGGACTGCATCAGGTGATAAACTCATGCTCCATGGTGCCACTGTTACACATTAGATTAGTCAATAACCCCAAGAGAGTCATTTTCCACAAAGTGTCCTTAAAAAAGCAGAATTTCCCATCAGGCTGCCTGTTAGTAAAAGGATCAATCACAAATGACAAGGGGGCTCTTTATGTTGGGTATATGGGAAATCTGTACTCCATGCATGAAGAACAGTAAGGCTGGTAAGAGATTAACAGCTGAAGATAAAATTGATAAAGTTTTTCATGTTCATTGAGACTGAGCAAAAAAAAGGCAAGTAATTCCCTAACCATAGTATAACTAACTGAGTTCGGTTTGGGCTATACTAAGCAGCAAATGGCAAGTCCTCCCTGCTAGGTCAGATGTGTGGAAGCAGAGTCAGGGTTCTAGCTGTAAAATGAGAGCAGCCTCCCTACAGAATATACACCAGCTTCTTTATGTGTGCTTGGGGAGGCCACCTTTTTGCACTTCTTTCCATCCTCACATTGACCTCCAGTCCAGGACACACTAGCAAACATTTGGAGCAGACAATTCTTAGTGCTCATTGCTTAAAAAAAGTTTTATTAGTACCTTGCTAAAAATAAACTTAAAAGGCAACCCCCTCAACAACACACAAAAAAATGAGGGGGAGGGGGAACAAAACATCACCATGGTTCTTCAGAACATGAACCACAACAGAAGAAACACTTGCACATTTCAAAGGAATTCCTCCTCAAAACTGCCTGCAGGGTTCGCTTTTCAGTTGTATTAACCTGTTTTCTGTATCTTTCATACTTCAGGTCTTCTCCAAATACTGACATAGAATACTAGCACTGATGTAGTTTGAGTTAATAAATGAATTTGGGTTCAAACAGTCATCCATTGGCATTTTCATTGCAAATCAATTTGTGTCCTTGAATGCTTCTGTGGACTTATTTTAATGTAATGCTTCAATGAAATGGTTTGCAACTTTGATAATAATAGCAAAATATCATTACCAGCACACCTAGATCTAATTGTTTTCAGAAAACTTTTACTGACAGCTGTACTTTAGCCCTGCTCCACCAGTGACAGCAGACATGGCAATTGTCACAAGTGAAAGGCTTTTGCCACTTGTGCTTCTGAGTGGTCTTTGAGGTAAGGACTTCTCCCCCTCCGTGTTTGTCCAGCACACCTAACTCCCCAGGACCTTATTTATATCTCAAGCTCTTAAACACTCCTGCAGCAACAAATTATAAATAATAAAAATACCAGAAGAGATAGTGGTAAAATAGGTGAGTGTTTGAGGGACTCTGACTAGCTGCATTTATTTGACCTACTGGCACTGCTCAAATGGGCCAATTTGGGCCTGCAAAACAGGCACTACCCTTTGTCATACTAACAGCAATCCATTTTAATTTCATTTAATCCAGGCCCCAACATGAGATAGACACACTGCTAGTAACGACAAAGCGAATGTTTGCTTTCTCCTATGTTTTATCCAGAAATCACTGTTGAACAAGCAAACAATTCTGTGGTGCTGCGTTTACAGCAATCTCAAAGGTAGAATCACATGGGGTTTAAATATATTTTCCAATTGTCTTCCTTTGGTTAACATCCTCCAAATCTGTACAAGCTGAGAGACTTCGGGGATAGGAAGGTGCATTTCTCAGCTTAGGCCACGAGTCAGTTTCACTCCTCAGCCCTCATTTTCTAGTTTGATGCACAGCTGAGGTTGCAAATTTCGCAGAAAACAGTTCAAAACATTGATACAATCCTTGTTATTACTAATAGTTATTAAAATGAATGTTTTGTTTGTTCTTTAAAAAAAGAAATCTGAAATTTTGTGTCTTTTTACTGGAGAAAACAATATGGTAGGTTTCACGACGTGACAGTGTTGTGCCAAAGAGTCTTCCCAAAAAGGCAGGAGCATCCTGCCCTAGAAATGCCAAAAGGCAAGAACTACAGGATTTTACAGGATTTTCTTTGGGATGTTTACATTAGCTACTAAAACACTGTACTGTGACATTCACACAGCTAACAATGCCTAATCATTTAAAAAACAAACAAGCAAAAATAAAGAAAGGCGGCACCCAGTGCTATCATGGATTCATGCATCTAAATGCAACCAGACAATCTCAAAGCATCATACAATGGAATCAAGGCCATGTGAAAGTGGCATTTTAAAAGCTTGCTTCAAAAAAGCCAGCTTGGAAGTGACATATAGTGCACAAGCCAAAATTCAGTTTCTTAGTCCCAGAAATTTCTTCTTTCATTTCTATCTCACAATGACCATAGACTACTCCAGGGATTGGGATACTGCCAGAACCATAACATGGCATAACAACAAAATGCTTGGTATTTACACCAAGGCAGAACATCATACTGTGCTTTGTTCCTAGTATAGCATCTCTTTAATGTAACACATCTTAGTCAACCATATTTGAGTACTCTGGAGACTTCACTGAATTCTCAAGTGGAGATGCGCCAAAGATAACAGCCATTCTGACTTCAGATGCAGGCTGCTATAGAGAAGAAAGTGAATAATTCCATGGAAAACTTTCTATGTGCAACTAATGCAAGATGTTATGAAAGTGCTGTGACTGGTTAATCTGACAGATGTCAGACAAACTCCTCATCTGTAAATCTCAGTGAAATTCACTCCATAACCACCAGACTAGAATCCTTCTTTAATAAAGCTTAAATATCACTTACCTGTTTTTCATGTTTCGGGGTCATCTTCACAGCTTTGTATTTAAGAGAAGGAAAAAAAAAAATCCTGAAAAATAAAACAGATACTAGTTTGGCATTTAACAGGAATTTAAATGTCATTATCTCTTCTGTTAGATATTAGTAAACAGTAGAAAGAGCCACAGTAAGGCCAATATAAGGCATATTTTTTCCCTGAATCATAACTAGGAATTTAACAGTCAAAAACAAAAGCTCATTTCTATGTATTTTTGATTTGTGATGGGCCCTTATCTGCTTAGCTGTGTTAGAATCACTGGGTTAGCTCCCTTCTGGGGATATCTGTCGTACTTGATAGGCCAGTGATGCCTGCCATCTACGAAACTCAGTATAATTTTGTTGGTTGCTTCAAAGGCCGCTTAAGTGTCTCATGCACAGATTCATGCACACACACACACACACACAAAGTAGAGTTTTCCCTGCACTGCTTGCCAGAGGCCTGTTAAATCCAGCAGTTGCCTTGTGCCCCAGCACTCATCCATGCACCCTCCCTGCACCAATCTCCCAATAGCCCTATGCCCCCAATACCCACTCTGCTTGGCCTTTGCAGAAAGGAAGCCAAAGCAATACCTCCTGTACCTTATTCCCAGGCACAGCTCTGCCTGACTAGTACTGCTGAGGTTTAGGAGACACTAGAACACAACGCAACCCAAATTATCCTGCTCATGGATGGCTGAAATCAGCGGAATCTAAAAGCCTCTCTAAACCGTTTCCCTGAAACGGAAACAAGCAGAGAGAGAAACTGTTTGTTTGGATTCTGTATGCTAGCTAAAACTCCACTAATGCCATGAAATTTACACTGGTTTTAAAAAACTCTATTTGGGGAAAGTGTACAGTTACACCAAATCCAAAAATCCTTTCATTAACTTACCATGTTTTAAATCCACTCTTTCACTTAAACTGGAAATCCTGGTAACATTCTTAACTACCTCTGCAGTTGCATGAGCCAGTTTGCTAAGGATAGATATAAATACTGGAAAAAGCAAAGCAAGGCTGACTTATGCAGTTGCTAGCTTGCATACACAGTGCCTGGGAAAAAAAATTGCAATTCACCTTTCACCTCTGTCTCACTCACGTGCCATCCAGACACTTTCGGGTAATACATACGCTAAGCCCTAAACTACAGAAATACTCTTATTTCCTCATCAGCTTTAGGTGTCAGCCTCTTCTTTCCAAACCAAAGAGACAAAAAAAAAAAAATTTCCTTCCTTCAGCACAGGAGTACAGCTCCTCACTCAGGAATACATTGGCCCAGTGGTCTAAATGAGCAATATTCAACTGAGAGAAGCTGGGCAAAATCCTGGTGGATATCCCATTGGAAAAGGTAAACTTACAGCTTTCTTATACAACCCTCAACCATCCTCCCCTTCATCCAGATCTCTTTTGAGATAGAGACTGTAAAGTGTTTACATATAAACAAAAAGATACATTGTTAAGACTTTGGAAGTGGTTTACTATAAGTTTATCTATACAGAATTTGGAACCAAGCTAACTAGTTAATAATAAACTATTTAGGTCAAGTCCAAATAAGGATTCTTAGAAGTCCACATCCCTCTGGTGCCTCTTGCAAACATGCTTACCTTAAATACACAACTCCATCTATTTTATTGAAAAAGCACAGAGTACAAAGACAAGCACACACACATTTCTCTGTAAGACCAGGAAATTATTTTGGAACAATACCTGTGTCAGATTTTTACAAGATTCAGTCACATCAAAATAGGATACTCTTACTGCAAATATAGATGTCCATATATCAGACTTCAAACATCATAAAGGGTACGATTAGTACAATACCAGTCTCCGTAAACCAGTCTCCGTTCTTTGAATTCTGTAGCCATAATCACACCAATAAAGCACAGAGGATGACACAAAACACACTTCCAACACCTTTTTCTCAGCATATTTATGCCTAAATAATTCAGTCCTAGGAAACCAAAAACTAAATTGAAGGATGCTGGCAATGCGTTTTGGGCTGAAGGCTTAGAACGGTATTTTGACACTTACTGCATAAGCTCTGTAGTGCCAAGCAACTCTGCAAGAGGGATTTTTAGGAATGTAATTCAGTCATATTTTCCACTATTTTATGCTGCCATATTGCTCTCAAATTCTCCAAATTAATATTTCAATAGCAAAAGGCTTTCTAAAATACTAATAAATATGTTTTCACTACATAATTTGAAAAATGGAATTATAGGAAATAGAAGAATATTCTGATACTTCATTGTACATGCAAATTTTTTCTCTTAATAGACCAAAAACCTATTACAAAATAAGATATAACATAAGAAAAAAATCATTTTAAGCTGCTGTAATGCAAATATTATCATTAGTTCATTTAATAGTAAATGTTCTCTTGTTTTAGGACACTAAAATACTAGATCTCTTTCACAACTGTTAAAAATTCTTACATTCAAATAGCAAAATGCATTTCTCATTTTACAAGTTACATACTACAGGCAGGCTAGCAACTCAGCATCTTCCAAAGTGATTAATCTCACCAGCTGAAACTCAAGCTCATTAAAGATATATTTTCCACTCACTTCAGAAAGGCCAAGATCCACCCATCACACTGCAGATAACTGGAAAACATACTGAATGACACATTCTGTATAGTAGCGAGACACAGAAAAGCTTCTAGCACTTTAACACATGCAGAAGTCAATGAAGCAGAACAGTAGTTCCAACTGCCTGCTTAAGAAAATATCTTTTTGTTTTCAGAAAACCCTCCCCAAAATACAGGTGATGGAGAGAAGTGGCCTTCAGAAACCAAACAGAAGGTTGCTGGTCTTTTTACTCATAAAAAATTTCCATTGACAGAGAAATGAACCAGTGCTGGGAAAAAGAAACAAAAAACAAACAAAAAAATCAGTGGGAGTTCTATAGTTTTGACAAAGTACTTTCTACAGTGGCTGGGGAAAAAAAACCCACTGATTTGAGAAAGTCTTCATCCTGCTTCTGATTTATTATCACACTGAAGCCCTTTTTTATTATTTAGATTCATATACTTAATGTAACACCTGGTCCGTTCAGCAGATACTTCTTGACAGTTTTTATTTGCATAACGAACAAAAGCTTCAGTGCACAGCTCCACAGCTGCCAACAATAACAACCCAAAAGTAAAAAAATTATGGAGAGTGACTTGTCATATTTCCTGTAGCCTAAAAATCAGGGAAAAAACAGGAACTGCGATATTTTTCTTATGGATAATAGAGAAGTGCTAGGTATTATATTTTATTTCACATTTATTTAATTAGAGTTTATTTTCTATGTAAATAATTCATTTTAATTTAGATTTTAACTACTATTGGGAAATATCCTTTTACCTTGAAAATTATTTCATCATAAAGGACGAGGTAGCTCCTCTCCTATATTCCCCAAGTGAATGATTAAAACTAAAGCAGTTTCATACAGACAAAAAAATGACACGATAGACCGCTCTAAGCACAGCCCAAAAAAAGCGAGCAAGACCTACCCACTGTTCCTAGCCTCAGCAGTCTGTTCAGCCTGGGGACTGGTCTTCTCTTACCAGTACCTGAGCACAGTCTTCTCCGCTGTCTCATGAGTAACTGTGTTTAGTCATACTGGGTTTTACGATCAGCCCTTTGCTAGGTAGTGGCACATGCAGTGCACTTGTCTGTTCTGGGATTGCTCACAAAATTCCATATAGCAAGTATTTCCCTTGAGCAATAAATCTTGATCTTCAGTTCAAGAGTTACCCATCCAACTACCTTCATTTTTTTCTGAAAGTATAAATAAATAACCGCCTTCAAGCTTTAACAGGGAAGAGTAACTTCTCTTTAGACCTTGGTCATGACTGATAGTCCTATCCAATCACAACCAAAGTCCTTGGCTGCCCTTTCAAGGTTGTTACTATCATCACTATTGAATGAAATATTTTTTTTCCCAAGGCTTCAGTGTGACCAGAGAGATCACAATTAAATCTCTAAATAAAGATCTTTACTGCACTTAAAGCTCATATAAAATATCCTAAGAGTTTTAATCTACAGTCTGTAGAAAGTTCAGTTGCATCAGTACATGGCATTCACTATGACAGAACATGCCTGCAGGTCCCTGACCTCCACTGCATTCCAAAGCATCGGGTCATTCACACGGATTTGTAAGCAAAATAGACAGACAGACAGAACAGAGCTGCAATTAAAAAAAAAAAAAGGATGCTAGCTCTGAAGAGTTCATACGTGACTATATTAAACAAACTCAGAAATAATTCTACGCTAAAACATAAGTGCTTAAACTCAAGGTAGGCCAACACGAATTTATTTTGGGGCGTATTTACTGTCCTTGCTGAAGACCTGGGTGCTGGGCTAGTTCTGAGAGGTCAGTCACTGGCAGGGACAGTCACTGCTGCAAAAGAGCACATCCTGCAGCTACTGCAAGGAGCCGAGAGCCTGAGGTGCCGCAGGAACGAACTGTGCCACTGCTGCTGAAACGAAGTAGGAAACGGAAGCTAATGGAAGGGTTAAAATTTCACCTAGTAAACTCGCATCCAGTCAGAAGCACGGATCAAGTATTATATATGTTTCAAATGAAGGGGTAAGAAGCAGCAGAAAGTAATGTTAAATGTTTATTGAACAAAACTGCCTGAAGTCACAATAACAGTAAGAACAGTCATACTGTATGTGTATATATCTCTATATATCTATCTCTATAAATAGAAATATAAAGAATAATCAGTGGAAACATCCATCTAGTACAGCACTGACTTGGATGCAACTTGCAGTGGTATCTTAGAGTATAAGAAACTAAAAAAATTTTGTATGCTTATTCGCCTGTTTCTGAAGAAAATATTCGGAAATATACATATAGGTAGCTAGCATACTTATTACATATAACGTGTTCCATTTTACGATGCTAAACTAATCACATTATCATGTAGGCTGATATTAACAGGATTCGGGTATGCGGGCTTTGTAGAACTACTGCTTTCACTGATGGGGAAAAAAAATTCTGATAGATCAGCGACCATACTGAACTCAAAAGCATAAACGTTTCAGAAACAGTAGCGGGCTC